ATTCGATGGATGAGGAGGTTTTAGTGGAAGAGGCGCAGAGGTCCGAATGAGATACAGTGTTTGATATGTGCAAATTGCAAGCGGGAGGGAGTTTGACCATGAGCTGTACCAGTGTCCCCACGAGGAGAGCCAGGAGGCAAAGAGATGGATGATGACAGTGCGGAGCAAGATCAAATACACACAGTATTCCGGGTGCTTCCGATGCGGGATGCCGCAGTCCATATGCAACAGCTGGAAGACACAGAGGCAGTGTCCGTACAGGCGATTTTTGATCCCGACAGTGGCAATGATGATGTATGGGTGTCACAGCAGCTGAGGGAGTTCAATGTGAATGCAGATGATCAGGAGGCGGTGATTGAATTTTTGAGACAGAAGGTTGAGGGGCAGGGCATCGAGCACAACCAGCTGATGGAGATGTTTTGTTGGCTGCGAGGGATATATCAGGAGGCAGAGAGGGGGAAGATCGAGTCAGAGGGTACAGGGGTCAAGTGATATCACGGGTGAGAGGCACCACAGGGGGATGAAAGACGTATATATATATAAAGGCAGGTGAAGCAAGAGACAGAGGGTAAAGGGATATAACATCGAGAGAAAGTAGATCAGGTTCAAAGGATCAGTTTCAAACAGTATCATCCCATATGATAATGGGTCAGGGTCAGGGTTACAAAGAGTGAGGGTAGAGGCTGGGGGGGAGGATGAGGTGGTCAGAGTCAGGGTTAGGGTTGACAAAGAGTGAGGCTAGAGACAGGGGTGGGCAGTGAGGTCAGGATAGGCGGTTAAATTAGACGCAAACCCGTTAACCCATTGAAAGTCAAACCCGTTGGACCCAAACCCGTTGGAAGTCGAAGCCGTTGGACGTCAAACCCGTCCCAGGAGGGAATTAACCCGTTGGGAGTTGAACACGCCGGACCCAACCCTATCCAACAGGTGGGGGTGGAATGGACGTCCATTCCATTCAGGGTTAGAAAACCGACCAATCAGAGCAGGGCAGATTGGACGTACATTCCATTTGGTTTCAGACGTTGAACGTCAAATCAACCACGGAGTCAATTTGACTTCAAACTTTGCATGTAGGCCGTATTGGGATATGAAATACAACATATCCAAATCAAAAGCGATAATTCCGCCGGGAAGGGGTTACATTGTGGTGTCAAAGTCAATGAGTTGAGGTGCGATGTTTGATGGGGTAAGCCATCAACCCAACCAGACCCAACTAAATATCTATATTTTCACCCAGGCAACGGAGCGGTTAGGGTTACTAGATCAACAAAGTAAATAAAAATAGCAAAATATATAAAAAAACTGAAAGGCTTCATTCTGGAGTGATTTTAAACAGAGAAAAACAAACATTAGTCGAACACGCTGGACCCAAACCCGTTGGACGTCAAACCCGTCCAAGGAGCCCATTCACCCATTGGACCCGAACCCGTTGGATGAACCCATCAACCTGTTGGAAGTCGAGCACGCTGGACGATTATATCAGAAGGTAGAGGGGGGGGTTCAAAAATATTGGAGTTTTAAAGAGCATTATCCCATACAATAATGGGCCAGGGTTAGGGTTACAAAGAGTGAGGGTAGAGGCTGGGGGGGAGGATGAGGTGGTCAGAGTCAGGGCACAAACACGCTGCTTTGGAAGAGAAATCCGTTGATGATTTAGATTAGAATTTGATCATTCCCTTGATAGATTATCATGAATCCTAGATGTGAATTCAAAGAGTTCCTGGTAAAGCTTCTCATGAAAGCTTATATGAGAAGAAAGATCCTTCACTGAAATCCTCTGCTGCTTCATATATAGATATTGAAGCCGGTATGCATTAATAGCTGCGGAATCAATAAGTCAGTAGAGAATAGAAAGCCAGGTGTGATAGATGACTCTATGACTAGTATATGCTGCTCAGTATTGATTTGCTAGATGTACCCCATTCATATGATGATTATAATCACCTATAATCAATGGGATTTTCAGCTTCTTTTGTGATTGACCTTTAAAGACTTTTCTAACAATATTGACATTGATTGAGAGTTCCCCTGAGCATTTACAAGTACATTCAATAACTGCGTCCAATGAATGAATCGTAGTTAGTGCCAATACCATATTATTATCTTGCCAGGCAAGACAGAGAACATTCTCTTTTTCAATGACATGCAGAGTATTTCAGAGTATGGAATTTGAATGCTCTCAAAGCTCATCTAGTACTGCTGGAACCTGGTTTGAATGAGTGGTTCCACATGCTCCATACCCCTGTTGACGTAGTTCTTTGAATAAAGGAACTGATGTAAAGTAGTTATCCATTTCAATTGAATAGGATGTGACCAGCTGTGAGATAGAGATTTCATTAGATGTGGCATTCGGTGTAGCATTCGGGGGGGTGATATTCGGGTTGATATTAGGGCCAATATTATGGGTGATATTAGAGTCGATATTAGGGGTGGCATTCGGCATGGTATTCGGTGTATTCGGTGTGGATACCATAGAAAGCCGCTTCACCAGATTCACCACCATAGATCTGGTTTTTGTTAACATAGAGAATTGAAACATAGACATTATACCCTGCCAGCAGCTAGATCAGGAAAAAGATCATAAATAGTCATGTTCTGCTAGGCCAAATATCTTATATCTTCAAGGAATTGGTTTATTAGACATCTTGTATGTAATGTTGACTCCATCCAAAATATTTAACCATGATCTCATCAATGGAAATCTTAGAGTCAGGGGTATAGTATTTTCAGCATGCCATATGAAACTTAGTAGCTAATGACTCTATCTTATACCATCAATTCTTATTTTTGACCTCCCGGGCGGCGGGCCTCATGAAGGTTAGATATATGGATATATCATTTAATCTGTTCAAAACGCATATGGGTCATATATAATTGAATGGAATGAATAGAAGTCTTAGTTTCACCTCATTCCTGCCCCGTATAAATCAATTCTTTGGACATTTATGAACTTTCATATAAAGAAAGAATGCCAATAAATACCCTTATCTCTGCTGCAGTGATATTTTTTTCCTGGAACATTGCTTTTTATAAATGCTTTTTAATTATCTTTTATTTTT